TTTTTTTTTGGGGTCCCCCCTCGTAGACTAAAAAATTAATGGGTCATGGATTTAAATCTTCTTTTAAAAAAACGGTGCCAACTTATTAAGAGCAAAGCTTGGTTAGGTGTTTCAAGGATCAATTAGGACAAATACTTACCTTGTTTGTCACTGCTTTAGAGATAATTTTCTCAAAAGTAGAGTCAGAATCATCAGAAGTAGACGGCTTTCTTTTGCGAGGATTTTTGGATTTGGCAGGAGCAGGCTTTTTGGGAGATTCATCAGAATTCAAACCAGGACCCTTTTTGGTTCCTTTTGGGGCAGCCCTTTTCTTGGTGCCTGTGGTAGAGGTGGCAGACTGACCTGCAAGGCAACACAGGCATTTATTATGACCACTTAATTAATGACACTTTCTCAATGTGTACTTTTTTACCAACTCCTTAATGGTTTATATTCAATATGTGAAAAGATGATCTAATACAGTCATTTTTTCCCAATAGATCCATGTTTTATATTAAACATTTTACAAACTTCTTATACATTCCATCTTTCATGTGCACTATTGATAATGTTGGCATTTAAAGAAACATGCAAAAAAAAAAAAGAATAAAAAGAAACATGCAGATTTAAAATCTTTTGAGTACCAATTTTGATCATAATTATATAACATGAATCATTTCCATTTGTAAAGGTTTAATTTCAATAACATAACTTTGGGGGATAAAAAAAGTGGAAATGGTTTGCAGCAGCTAGTTAGTTGATCCCAATCTTAGTCCATTTCAAACATTAAGGCTTACTTTTTGTTGTTGCTTTCTTCATAGTCACATTCTGTTTAGCAACAGGATTTATGATCTCAGTGTCAGCAGGTAAATCAGCAGGAGTATTTGAAGAAAGTGGGACATTATCCATAGCATCTTCAACATCAAGGTCTATTACTTCAATTGATAAGAAAAATAACATATAAACATGAAAATCCACTAGGTGCTTTAAGGACAAATATGACTCTTCTTGAATATTTAAGACTCTTCTTGAATATTTAAGACATGCTCTTGTAACTTGAGCCTACATTTATTTTCAAAGGGAGTACTTGGGAAATACTAAAAATTTTAACCTGAAGTACTAAAAAC